GTGTTTTCCGCAAAACGTTTTTTTTTTTTTTTTCTGAAGCTCAGTTCAGTTTGGATTTGGTCTGACAGCAGCGTATTGAGAAGTCATACATTGTCACAGCTGGCGGCAGCAGCACAGGCAGCAAGGACCGTGAGGATCCCAGAGAGACACACAGGGCGGTGCAGTGAAAGAACTGCACCGCTTCATTTCTTCTTAATAAGAAATTTCTTCTTAATAGAAGAAATGAAGAGGACCAGGCTTACAGACAGACAGAAGGATAGGTAGGTAGGTAGGTAGTAGGCAGGCAGGACAACAGGTAGCTACACCCAGGTAGTAGGCACATAGTGAAACACATGGAGACATACAGTAAGCAGACAATCTGTCAACTGACTGGGATAAAGAGTTGGCATAGATACCAGGGAGCAGATCAGGGAAATGGGGAACAGGTGTGTAAGTAGGCAGGGATGCTCAGGTGATTGAAAATGGGAGACAGGTTTGCAGGTGGCTCCAGTAGCAGTCAGAGATAGATAGATACTTTTATGATCCCCCTTAGTGCGGACAATTCATTGTGTCCATTAGCTTCACTTTGTTGATAATAATAATAATAATCAATAATAATTGTAATAATAATAATAATAATAGCTTATAATAAACTCAAACAATAATACATTACATTTTAGTCCAATTCCTCCAGAATCTCTTGGCTGACGTGTGTATGTATAGCCTGATGACAGTGGAACAATAGGATCTTCTGAACCTCTCTGTTCTGCAGCAAAGTGAGATGAGATGTTTGCTGTACCTTGTAGGCCAACATAAGCCTATTTACACATTATATTTGATTGAAAACTTCCTTTAACATAACCCAGAACAAAAACAACAAATCAAAGCAGCCTACTGAAACATTTTAACATTTATAACACATTTGTAACAGAAATTGATTAAACACCAAAAACGAACTAATCTAAAACTAAAAAGAACCAAGAATTAAGTTTATGAACAACAAAACAATAATCTAATAACATATCAATTTTAACTTATTATATCTGTAGCCTGACTACTTAAACTGTACAGCAAGTCAAAACAATTAACCTGTTTTCTCCCACAATTTCCGCACATGGGTTTGAGGCATTTGCACCAGGTGCCTTGTATTTTATTTTGGTTTCTGCTTCGAAGCACCTAGCACTGCCTCCTTGTTGGTGTCTGCTGCAGGGTTTTGTTTGGCTGCTGACTTGGACCTTGTGCCAGCTGCCTGACTGCTCGTTTGCTCTTCGCAAAAGACCTCTGACCTCTGCTCCACGTCTACACCTTGCCCAGATATGGAGCCCCATTCAGCATATATTTTTGTTTTGACATCCGCAGCCAGCCTAAATTTGATGCCAAATTTGGCAGGTTTGTTCCTCATGTACTGAATGAATTTGCACCGGGCCTTGGTGGGGGACAACTGTTCATCCACTGTGATTTCGGCGCAAGGCTTGTAGCAGGCTATGCTGTTCTGAACAAACTTGTTCCAAGTGGCCGACACCCAGGCAAACTTATCACGCTGCAGAAGCACAAGACGTCTCACCTTCTTATTGAACTGCAGGAATCTCATTATCTCCCTGAAGCGATCTCTGGCCATGATTTCCTTGAAAAATGGGAAGCCTCATTTTTCAGCCCACAGGCTGTCCAGCTCCATTTTTTGCACCCTGTGTGCCACGGATGTATAACTGGGCTATGAAGGCTTTCAGTTCAGCCATTTTCAATATTGCGCTTTGCGTGCGCCAATGGGTCAGCAGCTTCGGTCAGGATGTTCTGGCTCTGCCTTCTCCCTGGACGTTGGCTAAAGGACAGTTCACACCGTTACCCTTTTCCATAGCTGCCTCCGGCTGTGGTGACTCCAGGTTGAGCACTCTAGTTGGCTCATCACAAGACAGGGCAGCGGAGCTCACCTGGTGCATTAATCATGAATGGCACATCTGGATCCGCAGTCTCCAATGAAAGTAGCCACATCTTTTTCTTTAACATCTGATTCACTCTCTCTCTGATAAGGATTAAGTGTTTTCATCCACCCAGGAAAAGTCGCTGTCACTTTCCACCTCCGACAGACCCCCTGCATCAGACTCATCACTCATCAATCATCTCCAGGGCCATGGCATATGTCATTTTAGTCTTCATTCTTTCTTTTCTTTTCATTTCCGCCATTCTTTTCCAAATTCTCTGATATCTTATGTAGACAATTGTTTCACACTTTCACACTTTCTGATGATTAATATTTGTGATTAGTCAATTTTAAAGTAATTTGTAGTTGCTATGAAATTCCTATAGCCGATAGTTCACGCTCCAGACCCACGACTGATTTTTTTTTAATTGATAGTTGCTAAGCAACTGAGATAAACAATTTAAGAGCGCAAAACTCCGACCGGGCAATATGACTGTCTATGGCCAAAATTGGTAGAAATGACTATATTTTCTTTACCTTTTGTGTAATTTATATGAAAACAATTTTAAATAAAGGAATAAAGGAAAAGTCAGGCACCAATAGGTCTGTATTTTTTTATTTAACAAATTTATTACACATGTAAGTTGTAGAATGGTCAAAATGACTGTCATGGTCATTCTAGAAGACTTAACCATCTTAGTATGCTATAATTAGCATGCTATGTGAGTGTATGCTATGTGAGAATCTCTCTGTGACTTAATTTAACCAAGGAAATAAGGAATAGTATACATGTATACATGAACTAAACAATATCTTGTCTCTTGAGGTATCACCAGAAGAAATTATACCATCTTCATAAGTAATCATGGCATATTACATTCACATAATTATTCCAGCATTCAGGATAACTACAGCAGATGAGGACTTGTATCTGTGTAGAGAGATGTTGTAATGGAAGAAGTGGGAGTTTGTTTTCATTGTTCTTAGCTGCGATCCTAAGGTGGACTTCATTTTTCTTTTTTAATGCTGTCTACAGGAAAGCAGAGAGTATGATTCAACATTTTGAAAGAAATATTTATTCTCAGCAGGAGACAATAAAGCAAACATGTTTGTGAATTTAAAAAAAAAAATTAACAAAAAATTTTAGAATTCCTTTTTTACTGGGTTTGAAAGACTCCTGATCTGAACTGTCTAGGAGCCTATTTTTCTTTCTAAATACAGATTTTCCAGTGAACTGACTGAAAGAACTGGAAGTTAAATCTGTTTATTCCCTGTGTAATTCAATTTTTGAACCATTTGTCGAGTCAGCTGGTCCCTTTCAACTGCAGGAGTGATTCCAGGAACCTTAAAACTGTTTTAGAGACAGGACTTTCAAACATAAATTCAGTCATATCATTGTGTATTTTTGTTGTTGTCGTCTGATTCTCAGACTCAACTGGAATTTAATTTCACTTTTATAAATATAAAGTCTGACAGTGTTCATGCTAGCTGTTTTTTTGTTGAGGAGAGGCTGTTATGTCTAGATTTTGAGTGTGTAAAGTAAAGACATAGACAGACCAAAGTCAAAGTGTCCTTCAACTTTAACCTACTGTAGATATGGTAATTTGGTTATAGTTATTAAGGTTTCCAGATTAATAGTAATAATTTGAGACTGAAACAATATTGGCTATTTTGCCTATTAGTTTAGGCTGGTGCCCCCAAGGACTTTCATTCATTTTAAAATTATTATTTAATATTAATATTTTCTTCATTTGTGATAGCCATTAAAATGAGAGACAACAGAAGATCCAACATTTATGGTGTCCAGCTCATAAGGCAGAGCTCAGACCCAACAATTCAAACCAGACCAGACCACCAAGAATAAAAACTAGGATGAACATAGTTTTGAGGCGTGTTTTTTTTTACAGTCTGGGAGTCATTGTTCCACGCTGTGAAGGCTGTTGATGTTAAAAGCAGTTTGAATTCAACAGTTTCTTGTTCTCTGGTGTAATCCACTGCTATCAAAACTGTTCCAGGTGTTTTGTTTCTCAGGGAGGAGAATGGATGTTATTGATCAGGAAGTTAAAGAATGTAGTGCAGGGAGAGGAGGAGGGAGTGTGGGCAGAAGATGCCTCAGGATGTGTTCAGAAATGAGGCTGTTCAGGGAATCAGAAAAAAATCCCTCTTTTGTCTCCTCTTCCATGCTGTTTTTCTCTCACTTTCCTTCTTGCTCTGTAGAAGAAGCACCCTTAAATTTGACTTCCTGAATGCTTTCTGTTTTGAGGAAACAAAAGAATTGAATTTATTTGTTTATTGATTTTTTTCCTGTTGCTTGGATGTATGTTCTCTTTTGTGCCTGGTCGGTTTGTCCCCTTGGCTTACTTGGCTGTCCATTGTTTGTGTTTTTTTTTACTAGTTAACTGAAAGGATGAAAAGAATGATGGACATCTTGACAAATGTTTGGAAAGACAAGTGATTTGTTAAATGACTTGATGAAAAAATAGATAAATAATACTAAAATAATAGCGTGAAGAGGATGGATGGATGGATGGATGGATGGATGAATATGGATGGATGGTCATAGAGAAGCCTGCAATCAGACCTCAGATCTGTTTCCTGTTCAATAGTTCACTTAGTTGCACGTGAACTTGTCATTTAGATCAACCAATAGCAGCTCTGTCTTGTCAGATCAAACTGTTCCTGTCAGTGCTCACATGCACAACAATATTAAACAGCAGCTGTCTGGAAACTAGTGTTTTTATAGCAAAATGAATATATTGGCCTAAAGAAAAATCACATGTTCTGATTATGTTCACTGATCAATCTTTGAAAGTCTGGCTGACATTTGCTGTTCGGTCTCTAAAATCCTGTATTGTGTTCTATCTTGCCATTCTACCTTATGCTCTTCATTCTCTAAAATCATCTTTTACATCCATCACATCAATCATATACTCACCATTCTGTCTTCTCTGAGCTTGTAGCTTGATTACAGTCCATGTTTGTTCTACACTTGCTCTGCAGTTCTACTGTTAAAGAACTTCTATAAAATGATCGATGAGAAACAAAGAAGGCTGTGAAATTATCAAGTTGTTTTTTGGTCCAATTATATTCCTGTCTTTCCCAGGTGCAAGCCTCCCGAAGCCACAGGTGAAGACAGCCTCTTTGGGTCAGGCTGGTAAGGCTCGTTCCCCTCTGCTGCCCGTCTCGGTCCCTACAGCACCGGACTTACCAGAGGAGGGTGGAACGAAACCTGCCGAGGACTCAGCTGCCAATGTAAGTCCAGATGGAGAAACTGTGAGCGTGTGATTTAGTTTTAAACCAGAGGTACATTACTTTGCCCGAGATCACAGTTTAAGATTGTCTCTCAAAAAGCACCATTATACTGAGATGGATCCAGCTGTTCAACGCATTTGCAGTAGCAGTGAATCTAATTGGTTTAAAGTACATCATCATTTCTTATGATTTTTTGCCATTAACTGTGGCTGCCTAGCCGTTGCCATGGAAACATGAAACATGACACCTGTTACAACTAATTAGTTCTATCAGTTGGTTTTGAGCTTGTGTTCTATTCACTGCAGACCAGACGCATTCAAGGTTTTCTATAGTTTTCTATAGTTTCTGTTCCACTGTTCCACAGAAACTATGTCGCAGTCCATAAGGAGCTTCCTCTGTGTGAGAGAGTGTGTCCCAAACTTCACATGACAAGCCAACAGCTTCTCCACTGGTTTAAGTCTAGTCAGAGGAACTCTGCCGTGGCATGTGAGCAGCGATGAATACACAACTCCTGTGTTTCTTGACTTGAATTTGGATATGAAACAAAAATTGTAGACTCAGAGACTGATACTAACAGTTTAGACAAAGCAGCCAAAGGAATTTATATTTTTTTTCATTTTTTATGGAGACATTATGTTTCCAGGTTCTCCGAAAAAAACTTCTTCGTTGTTGGTCCGTCCATCCCATTCTCATGAACACGATATCTCTGTATTGCCTTGAGGGAACTCAAATTTGGCACAAACATTAATTTGGACTCAAGGATGAACTGATGATAATTTGGTGGTCAAAGATCAAAGATCAAGGTTGTTGTGACCTCACAAAACACAGTTTTTGGCATTGTGAACACAATATCTTAGTAACACCTTGACGGAATTTCATTACATCTGGCACAAAAGTCCACATGGACTCAAAGATGAACTGACTAGATTTTGGTTGTCAAAGGTCACTGTGACCTCACAAAACATGTTTTTGGTCATAACTCACAAATTCATACACTAGTTATGACACAGTTTAACTTAAATATGGATAAAATCAAGTGATGACATTTTATATGCAAAAGGTGAAAGATCGACTTCACTGTGTTCACTTCATAATGTTCTGACAAAAACACTTATGGTCATTATTCAACGCTATAACTCAGGAAGGAGAGACTGTGACCATATTTCCTGTAACTTGGCTGGTTGGTGGAGGGATACAACCGTGAGGAGATGATTCTATTTTTTTTTCTATCTTTAGTTTCCTCTGTTATACGGTGTATGAGAGTACATTTGGCATTAATTGATTGGTACTAACACATGATAACAAAGGGCCCTCTGTCATTTTCTACATCAGCCAGAATTATACAGACTGAACCTTTAATCCTCAAACATTTATTTTCAATTTTACACATTCTGGAAGGTTTAACCTGCTAATTTTACATACCAATGAATTTGCTAAAAGAAGTAAAAGAAGTAACATTTGAAGTTGTAATAGTAGAATTAGTATTGTAGCAGCAGCCAAATTAGAAGCAACAAAGGAAGAACAAATAAGGACACTTTCTCTTTTTACACTCACTGTTTTCATTCACAAATGATTTTCACTCTCTTTACCATCAATGAAAGTCAACACTTCTTGGAGATGTTGTACATTAAAAGTCAATTGGAAACTTCGAAATTATGCTCTTTGAGCCACTGGAAGGCTTTTAAGGTGAAATATCTGGGCAGGAATTGTTGAGTTTGGATGCAAGTAGCTTTACAGTGATTGGGAAAACAATGCAAAGTACAGCAATTACAGTGGATTAATTAACTAAATTAAATATACCTGTCTCAAATGAAAGGCGAAGGCAAGAATATTTCAGAATCTACAGTAAAGATCAAAGACATATATTCTTCACAACTTTTTACTATTTATAGTTTTTTGTGGCAAAAGGGATAGTTTTACCCTGCTATGTATAATTCAAATGGAAATTTGAAAACAGGGAATTACTAAATGAACTGCTCACATATTAAACCTGTAATATTTAATCAGGAGCCATTACATTTGGCAAGTAAAGAATGGTGGCCAAGATATGTAACTATAAACTGGTCAGTCTGTCTTTATTTGTAGACATCTCTGTACTTTTTGTATTCTTGTACATCTTGTTACTTATCAGCCGACACTTACTCTAATACTGATATATGAGTCTAGCTCTGGAAAAGTGTGCGTCTGTACTTGTAGCAGGTGTCAGACGCAGTAACAGCAGTTGTAGTAAAACTGTTCTTAAATATCAAGAAACAGATTCAGAAAATACAAACACGGAACAACTAGAGATGGAACAAACAGTCTGAGGAAGAGAGAGACAGAGAGGTGGGAGGAAGGTATACACGCACATGTGCACACTCACACACACACACACACACAGACACACACACACACACACACACACACACACACACACACCTGCACAGCCTTGTCACTACACCTGTTTTCTTCCCTCCAGTGGGTAGGTGGCCTTTCAGCGGTAGAATACAGCAGAGTTCATTAGTGACTGAAACTGAGGAAATGAAGAAAGGCAGGAGAGAAAGGAGAGAAAGAAGAGGAAGAGGGGTGGAGGAGAAATAAGATGGAGGAGGAGGGAGAGAGAAGAGGGGAAAGAAGGCGGAAACAAGGAGGGGTAAAGAAGAAAGGGAAAAGGAAGGAGTCAAAAGGAAATAAGACAGGGAGGATAGTAAGAAGGGAGGAGGTGGAGGAGTGAAATAGGAGCAGAGAAAGGATGTACTAGAAAGAGGAAGGAGAGGAAGGAGGACAAGAGGAAGGGGGAGGGGGAGGGAGGGGAGAAACAAAGATGAGGCCGGAGGAAATATGTATTAGGACAACAAGGTGAGGAAGAAAGAGAAAATATAGGAGGGATGAGGAAGGAGAGGTGGAGATTGGAAAATGGGAAAGAGAAAAGGAGGAGAGAGGAAGGGAGAGGTAAAATGGAAAATGGAGTTTAGGAGTGAGGCGAGGGAGAAATAGATGGAAAGCAGAGAAGGAAAGGAGATGAAGGTGGATGATGTGGAGGGATGCTGGATGTAAGGACTTGTTAAATATTCATATGTGACTTAAAGACAATAGGACAGGAGGAGGCGTCGCCACAGCAATGGAAAGAGGGGGATTCTTTAGGAGGGACAGACAGAGGACAGAGGAGGAGAAAAGGAGATGAAATGAGCAGGGGAGGAAAGGAGAGGAGGCAAAAAAAAGGAGAGGATAGGTGCAAGTGAGGAATTAGGAAAAGGAAATAGTATGAGCAGGAGATGAGAGGGATGCTTCAGGAAGAAGGATAAAAAAAGAAAAGATAAAAAAAGGAGAGACAGGGAAAGGATGTGGAAGTAAAGAGGAAGGAGGGAGAAGACGAGAGAATGAGAGATTAGGAAAATCAGAGGAGAAGCAATGAAAGTGGGGGCAGGAGTGAAGAAAATGAGATGGAAAGATGGTGGAAAGGTGAAAGAGAGAGGGTGTAAAAGGTCAGCAGGTCTTTCTCTCTATCTTCTGCTCTATCTCAGTAATTGATCTAGTCTTTTACCATCATCCCCCTGGCCAATCCATCACACGTACACACACACACGCACATGCACACGCACAGCTGGTTAATAGACTGCGACACACAGGGTGAGTAAAGTACGCTACAAGGGTGCTTTTATTATGTTGTTACACTAGTGAGATATTTTAAAGAAGCAGTTGGATGGTGTGATGTTGGATCCCTTCCCTCTCTATGGCTCTCAGCACATTATTGCTGTGAAAAAAGAAATCACAATTGTATTTTAAAAAAGACTCAGTAATTTCCGAACATAGCTGGACAATGTTGTTATTATCAAACGTCACTCAAACAGGAGGAAGCCATACATTTGTCTATTATCTATTTTCAGATGAGTATTAATGTTCGTGTGGTGTGTTGGGGCAGCAGGACAGTGTGTGTGGGACTGAGTCAAAATAAACTAAAGTGTGTGTTCTCATGGTGATGGAGGAACAGGTCAGACAGTACAAATAGTGTGGCTCACTGATATGTTTATAATAGATTCTGGACAACAATGCAGCTCTATGGCTCAGAGGAAGAAGATAGATCAGCCTTTGACACACACAATATTTGTTCACTGTCAGTTTGGGTCTTATAATTGAATAATTGAAACTTCTGTGCCAAACTTCAAATTTAAAACTCCTTTTTTTTAAAGTAGTTGTCTTTATACATAGAGGATGGTGGGGGGCTGAAATGACGTCACTCTGTCTCCCATCAGACTTCCCTGTATTGCTCTGTCACTTAATCCTCACCTGCCAACACACCTGCCCCTTATTTTCCCCAATCAACCGACCAGTGTACCGTCGAGACCATAATCTTTTGTTTTGTTCTGAGCTTCAGCACAGATCAAACAACGGACACTACATTAAAGTGCCAAGGCTCAGCATTAATTTGAGCAGGTTTACACCAGTATAGAAAGAACTGTGTGGGAGATAGATGCACATGAAGTGAAATGAAGTGAAATATTTTGTGGAATGACTGCCTAAAGTCTCGGACCCATAGACATCATTAGACATGTTGTATCTTCCCTGGTGATGTTCTCCCAGGCCTTCACTGCAGCCCACTTCAGCTCTTGCTTGTTGTGGGGTCTCTGCCTTAAGTGTGGACTGCAGTTTAGTCAGACTGAGATCAGGTGACTGACTCAGCCAGTCAATAATATTTCCCCTCTTAACACTCTACAGCTCTTTCTTTACTTCAGCGATATGTTCAGGATAGGTGTCCTGCTGAATGATGAAATGTCATCCACTGAGTTTTGATGCACTTTTTGCTTCTCTCTTTCTAACCTCAACTTTCTGCTCTCAGTCAGCTCTGAGTCACGTGAACTAACGTTGAAACGACACACAGCTGCCCAAGAAACATAGAGTGTCCAATTACTTTTGTTGGGTCTGAGCTCTACCTCATGAGCTGGACACTAAATATGTTGGATTTCATATACATTTCATGCAGGTTCTAGAACTGAGACGTACTACTATGTGTGTGA